GGGCGTCTCGTAGCGGGTAAACCTGCTACTCGAGTTTGACACCGCCACCCCGGAGTCGAAACTGCTACGCTCCCGCCTGGAAGGAATCCTTCAAATAACGAGTGTACAGTATAGTTCGTGTTCTTCGACTGCGTGACACGGGTGCACCCAAATCTCTGTTTATACGATGATCCGCATGCTAACCTAACTTGTCTCCACAATGTCTGAACTCGCTTCATATTTATGAATATACTATCAACAATCACGAGGTCATCAGTCTCTTTAGAACCTACGAATGCTGTACCACGATTGTTAAAAATATCAAGGTCCTTTGGGACCATTCTGAGCATCGTATAAATTGAGACTTGGGTGTGGTTGTATAATTAAAGTGTCCTACGAGGTATCTTACAATTCTCCTCGGGTTATTTAGCAATGACGATGTAACTAATTTTTTAGTAATATTTGATCATTAACTAGTTGTCAATTTTTTAGAATATCTAGATTAATTTCCATATTGAAAATGAATACATAAATCAGCACATCGTTTCACTTAATGAAAGATATAAATCTTGGTAACAAGAACATATCTTGGCAAGAAAAAGACTATTGACAGTACTTTTTGCAAGCAGAGTGTAACGCAATTTTTTCCTTAGCTTTGATAGTTGATATCCAATGATAGTATTTACTGACTCGCTTTATATACACCGCGCCAACAGCAATCAACAGTGCAAATAACATTGATTAAATTTGTAATTTGAAGTTCTTCTTTCAGAGTACTTCTTCCGTCGCACATCGTTTGGCTCATTACATATTTACTTACAATTCAAGGATCTCGTATCAAGATACGAGAAACGAAACGGCAGACAAAATTGTTGCTAACAATCACGTTTCTTTACACAAAGAGTTCTCGGATGAGATACTGCATTTCCTGTTTACGGATACTCGCGTCACGTCTTCATTCATTGAAATTTCAACATTGAAGATCATCTCGAATTCGAGGTCTCTCGTTAACGACTTGCGCATCTAGTTTCTAGTAACCGCGGTCTGATGCATCTTCAAATTACATCGAACAACGCTCGAACTTGCAGCAATCGAGCGCGAAAAGACGTAAATAAAATCGTAAAATCCACGCTTTAATCGCCTCGTTGCAAATACGTGCAATATCTTATTTTTGACGGAACTTGATAACGCGAAATTGCGTGTGCTGTTGTCATGGCTATGCTAAATATTCCGGAAGACTTTGCAGAATACCTCGCAAGACTTTGTGTATTGTATTATGGATGAGAAAACGTTTTACAAAATTCTAGAATTCTTCAATACCTTATGACAAAAATTCTAAAATTATGCAATTCTCTAAGTACCTAAAACTCTAAGTTCCAAAGTCCAAAGTATTTGAAGTTCTCTAATTTCTTGAAACTCAAATTTCAACAACTCTCAACAATTTCAAATTCCAATATCCTAAAATCCTAGCTCCAAAACTTCAAAAACCTTAAATTCTAAAAATTTCAGTATCCAAAAGCTATGGAGACCAGAACAGCAAAGTTCTACGGTCTCAAAATCTCTAATTCCTTGAAGCCGAAACTTCAACAACTCTCAACAACTTAAATCCCAATATTCTAAAATCCCAGCTCCAAAACTCCAAAATCTTAAATTCTAAAAGTTTCAGTATCCAAAAGCTGTGAAGACCAGAACAGCAAAGTCCTACAGTCCCAAAACTCATCCAACTTGTGTGAAATATTTGTTGATAAGTCGACGATGAACCTAAAAAGTATACATACGAGACATCGAAGGTGGTGGCCGACGAAGGTCTCGTGTCCCAAGTCTTTTCGCTGGCAATACCCTGTCGTTCTAGGTGCTCGTAAAAAGTCTCCTGACATTCTCTGGAGGCGAAGTCGACTTGCAGCCGACGACCACGAAGAGCAGCACCTCTCATCTCCTTCACAGCCGCCTGAGCGCAGCTGATCTGCTCGAAGAAGACCAAAGCGTGGCCCCGCTCGCGGTCCACCACGACCTGATTTATTGGTCCAAACTGATGGAACTGCATGTTCAGGTACTTTTCCGACATACAATCTGAAAATGAACATTATTTTTACTACTGAAACTCTACTGTGTTTAAGCTAATTCTTTTCTGTGTCCACCATTTGCGCTGCAGAGAAGCAGTCTCTAATTAGGGTCTGGCTTTGTTAGGGTCTAGCTTTTTTAGTGGAAGTTGTTATGGAGTTATGCTAGTTTTAATACGTGCAAGGGGGAGGCAAGATTATTTGTAATGACGGAGTGAGAGGGATTTTTCGAATTTAGAAATTTTAGATTTGGAGATTGAGAAGTCACAAATTTCCAAATTTCGCAAGTTCTGTGAATGTTACAGGTTCCTTAAATTTTTCGAATTCTCCACAATTTTAAATTTGCAAATTTCCACAGTTTCGAATTTCCTGAACTCCCGAGTTTGAAGTTTGCAAATTTCCACACTATCGAATTTCCTAAACTCCCAAGTTTGAAATTTCAAATTTCCACACTTTCGAATTTCCTAAACTCCCAAGTTTGAAATTTGCAAATTTCCACACTATCGAATTTCCTAAACTCCCGAGTTTGAAATTTCAAATTTCCACACTTTCGAATTTCCTAAACTCCCAAGTTTGAAATTTGCAAATTTCCACACTTTTGAATTTCCTAAACTTCCAAGTTTGAAATTTGCAAATTTCCACACTTTCGAATTTCCTAAACTCCCAAGCTTGAAATTTGCAAATTTCCACTCTTTCCAATTTCCCAAATTCCCAAGTTTAAAATTTGCAAATTTCCACTCTTTCCAATTTCCCAAATTCCCAAGTTTAAAATTTCAAATTTCCCAAATTTGAAGATCTGAAAATTCACAAACCTTCAAATTTTCAAGTAGAACTCGATAGCGTGGAAATTACAAAACACAAAAGTTGAAAAACGTAGAAATTTCAAAATTTGTAACCTGTGAACTTGAAATTTAAAAATCTCCAAATTAGCAAATTTTCGACATCCGCGCCCCATTCTCGCCGCAAGTTCTGGAGTCCCTTTGCTTATCAATCAAAACTAGCAGAACTTATTTGGAAGTTCCCTTTGTCCAAAAGCAATTTGGGTCGAAACTGTTGTAGAAATCAATACTGTTCTTTACGATAATTACCTCCAATGCCGTCAACCCATACACAGGACGTGGGCATCGATTTTCCAAATCCAAGTTTTATTCGATTCGCGCCCAGGTGTTCGCCATCCATCGATCGCATAGCTTTGACGACGCTACCGATGTCGGAGTATTGGCAGAAGGCATAGCTCGACACAGCGCCTTGTTTTTTAATATCTATTTCCTGCAAGATTCCCGCAAAAACGTTATTTACCTCTCCTACAAGGTTACATGATGTCTGATCCTACTTTATAATAAAAACAGTTCACAATGGAATTTCTATCTTAAAATTTTTATTTTGCCTCTAAAACGCTTTCGATATAATACAACAATGTGTCTAGGAGATTAACAGTGATAAAAAAGAGATATCTTTCAGTCGACTAAGAAAAAATATTTGAATTATTGATAATATAAGTAGATTAAAAATAATAAGGTAATCTGCATGGATGATTCTGTTGAATTATATCGAACATTTAAATATTCATGGAATATGATTAACTGTTTACTACGCACGTCATAAGTGGACATTCGGAAACGTCGCTTCTGGTCGAAATTTTAATATCAAATGGCCGGCAACATGTTATTCGAAAGTATTAGCATAGACGATTAGAATTTTAAAATCTTTCTCGTTTCGCGACTCGGATGCTAAAAACCCGTTTCGTGCGCAAAAAAGCGACTTGGTTCGTAAACCTTGACTAAGCACAATTGAAAAATTTTCTGAGACAATTTTCATAATATGCCGCAATGTTCTTTTACTGATTTAAGAATAATCGCATGCTGTAATATCGGTTCGCCATTTTGAGCTTTGCATTTCGATCAGAATTTCATGATGGGCCGCTTTGAAAACTCTCGAGTATACATTATGAGTATCTCTTAATTTTTGGGCATGAGAATGTATCATTTTAAATCTTGAAACTTTTAATTGCCATGTTTTAAATTTGAAGTTTGGGTTCCAGAATTTTAATTAAGCAAGCATGACAGAGTGATTAGATTTCAATGATACATAATAGTATACTGAAAAGCTTTTCAAATTTATTCGTGCAGCAGTGACCATAATATATTTCAAGGTCAGACTGGATAAAAATGTCTTGATAGTCACGTTGAAAATATTTTTCGTATCTACGAAACTAAGGCCAGACGGTCGTAACACGTGTACAGAAACACGGTTCCGAATAACGACCTTGACAACGTACTTCAAGGCCACTAAGAATCCCTATGATTACCGGGTTTCGCGGGGTTAAACGAAATCAGAGATACCGACGAAATAGTGAATAACTATTAACACGTAAAGGTTCACGCCGTCGGTTCCTAGCTCATAACACACTCGAATGTGTTATAATTGTGGCGAATGTTGAAACTTACTATTATCTCGCCGAAGGGCTCGAAATGCTTCCTAAGCTCGGACGCGGTGACGTCCTTCTCGAGGTTGCCGATGAAGAGCGTACGCGTCGCCTTCGGATGGTACTCGTCGAGCTCCGCCTCGTACGGCCTGAACTCGTTGTCCTCGACATCGTAGCCCTGATACGGTGCCACCTCGATCTTGCAGCCGAAAAACAGCTTGTCGTGCGACACCTCGAGCGCCTTCTCCACGTCCTCGGGTTTCTTGAAGCAGACCAGGGCGTACCGGTCGCCGGCCGCCCCGACCACCTTCACCCACGTTATTTTCCCGTGCTTCTTGTACTCGTGGAACAGACCGTCCTTGAGGGAGGTGTCGCTGCTGCGTGCCGGTAAATTACGCACGCAGATTGCGAGCGGCCTGCGGTCCTCGGTGACGGCGGCATTTCCGGTGCGGTGCGGCGAACTGCCGGGCGACGTGCTGCCCCCGGAAGTACTGCCGGCGGAACTACCGCTGCGGCTGCTGCTGCTGCTGCCCGAACGGCTACTGCCACTCGGCGAGCTGCTTCCGCTTCGCGATTTTCTGCGCTGTTTTTTGTGCTGTCGTAACGCACCGCTGCTACCGCTCCCGCCACCTCCACCGCCGCCTAGTGGAACAACACGACGAATGTAATCTACACACGTATAGTTCGTTATTGTTATTTACTGTCCTCTCATCTTTCTTATATAATTAATACATTCGACTATCTATACGCTCGAAACAACGCATAACGCGACGCGGCCTAACGCTCTAACTCCAGGAGGTTGTATCGTGTACACCAACTTCGACTCGTGAATTTCACTTAAAAAAGTGTAATACAACTTTTTATAACCGTGAGTGCAAAGTACACAGTACAAAATAAATAAAAAATAATAACTAGTTTATCGTACACATGGTACCTATGTTGCACTTGTTTCTGTACTAAAGCTTTATTCTCACAATTGATGAGAATAAATGTCTTATCTAATTATGCTTTAATCATCTTCATTCTGATCTCTTTAATCTTCAACTTCTACTTTAATCTTCAACCAGCGTTTCTATACTTCAAATGTTAAACTTAAGTTTGAATTGCATCGGATGGTCTCCATTTTGGTCCCCACAAGATTATGATTTATGTTCAGTTGGGTTTAAGAAAAGTTTCATAGTAAAGTATGTTTGTGATACAACCACCTTAATTAGTGAGCGACTGTCATGCTTTGGATTTCGTAGCGGTACAATCATTAACGAGCATGCATAACGGAGATTCGATGTTGCAAATTAACGTCACGTGGTGTCTTCTCCAGTTGGCGGGAAACGACCAACTGTGGTCGCGTCGCGGTTCCCGCGCAAAACGTTACTGAACGCACGCGTACAATTACTGCATCGCATATTTTCATTCTTCCACTAATTTTTTTGTAGAAAATAAAATGTACGACGATCTGAATAGATGTCAATTTAGTGTACCTAAATAGTTACGTAGATTTAACTACATTTATCTGGCACTCTTTAGAGCTTTAAGATTTACGAATGTCGACCTTGACCCCCTATGTGAAACGCGTTGTATGCAACTTCACAAAACTTCACAATAATATAAACTTTGCATTACATAATTTCTAAACAGAATGGTCGCAAAATGGTACTGAAAGTTGAACACAATCACAAGTGCACAAAACGTATCCGACAAAAATCCCAGAACACTGAAAGAAGCACACGCTATAAAAATAAGAATAGCACGCAGATATTGCAAAAAGGTGAAAGGATTGCATAACTATCGAATCTTAATACCAGAGACGTTATCTCAGGCCCATAAATCGTGAAATGTCTGAACAGCCTTGATGAACAGAACCACGTGTCGTCGGTCGCGAGCTCAGTAACGCAGCGCGGGGCTCGCGTGTGCTCAACAAACGAGCACGGAATCACAGGTAGGTAACATCGGTTATGCGAAAGAGACAGAAATAGCAAAGGAAGGAACACGGCCGTATCCACCTGCAAGAAGACACGCGGGACGTGGACGCAGACGCGGACGCAGACGCAAAGGTGGAAGAAGCAAGCATAACACAGGCAGGAGTTTATATGCATTGGTACAGTCTATTCCACAAGAAAGTATACGGCAAAACTTTTAAATTTCCTTTCAAATTTCAACGTGTTTATGTAATTATTGTTATTTATTAACCTTTTCACGATGTGTATGCTAAATAATCGAAGGTAATTTTTATGGTAAAATTGATTTCATACAATATACGATTACACGAAATGCATGAATTTCGTATAAATCTGATTTGGACTCGTTAATAATCGGTAAACAAATATTTACTATCCAAAATAATTCGGTACTGATAGGATTAAATCATGAAGTAATTTAATACCCGGCTTGTTATTTCGATCAAAATATTAGCTGTGTCCATCGAAAATGGCGGGACATTCAATCGGTTCAGAGGACACATTATCTACCCTCGTGAGTAATAGTTTATTATAATGAATTTAAAAGATATAAGATACTTTTATGAAAAATATTTAGATACTTGTTTTTAAATATTCTTTCTATCCTGTAGTACCTCTAATACTTCCATACTCGACGATCTGACAACACAGTAGCAGGAATTGGTAGTAGGGGCATTAAAATTTATCCGCGAGTCGCGGCAAGGAAAGCAAAGGTAAACGATGGAGCGAGAACTCGTCGAGTGTGGACAGCAATTAGCAAGTACCGAGTCGCTTCGCGACTGGCAAGGTACACATCGTATTAAAGTCGAAAAGGATCTCGTGGAAGATGTATCGTAATAATAAAAAAGCGTTGCCGTATAGTTTGTCGCGGACGAGGCTGTAGAAGGGCAATTACCTTGGTCGTCCTGGTAGGCGTCGTTGTTGGCAGGCGAGGGTGGCGGCGGTGCGTTGCCGTACCTCGAGGTCGTCGACTCGTAGGCCGACCAGGAGGACGGTGGCAGGCCACCACGATGACGATCTAAGTGGGGCGGGGGCGGCGGCCCGGAGGCATACGGGCCGGTTCTCGAGTAGAGCCGATCCCTCGCCCTGGTCGATGTCACGTGGTAGGAGCTGGCCGGAGGTGGACGGCCGC